GCTCAACCTTGCCCATTCAAAATCAGCCTTCCCTTACCCGCGGGTAACACGTACGGCTCCGTGAAAATTATTCGCGGGTAAGTTAATATCTCGGGAACCACGGAGTCTAGGAGGCTGAAATTTAAGACAAATGACCCTCTGTCCACGCTCAACCTTGCCCATTCAAATTTGCGTTCTCGCGCTCTCGGTTACCACCTACGGCCTCGTGAAAATTTTGGCGGGTAAACTATTAACTCGGGAATCACGGAAAGATATTCATCCTTCAAGATTTCGAATTCAGCTTTCATACGCAGGTGCGTGAAATTTTTAAATCACGGAAAGATATTCATCCTTCAAGGTTTCGAATTCAGCTTTCATACGCTGTGCGTGAAATTTTTAACTGTTTTTCAATGTTTGAACTACTTTTGCATAGACTAAAGTACAAAGCAGTGAAAAAAATTAACTCTGGGATCAAGGAAAAATATTCATCCTTCAAGGCTTCGAATTCAGCTTTCATGCGCTAACTATTAACGCGGGAATCACGGAAAGATATTCATCCTTCAAGGTTTCGAATTTAGCTTTCATACGCTGGTGCATCGGGAATCACGGGAAGATATTCATCCTTCAAGGTTTCGAATTCAGCTTTCATACGCTGGTGCGGGGAATCACGGAAAGATATTCATCCTTCAAGGTTTCGAATTCAACTTTCATACGCTGGTGCATGAAATCGAAATCACGGAAAGATATTCATCCTTCAAGGTTTCGAATTCAGCTTTCATACGCTGGTGCGTGAAATTCTCACGAAAAGATATTCATCCTTCAAGGTTTCGAATTCAGTTTTCATACGCTGGTGCGTGAAATTTTTGTCTGGTCTTTTCAATGTTTGAACTATTTTTGCATAGACTAAAGTACAAAGCAGTGAAAATCATTAACAGGCATTCGATGGGCTGAATTGCACAAAACGCATGATCGCACCGGCTAGTCTGGTGCGCGTTGCCATTTATTATTACTTGTTTGTGCTGTTGCAGCGATGCGGTCCAACAGTAGAGCTTACGGTGAAATCGACGCCCGAACTGGCCGAGTTATGCGAACGGAACGAAACGAGCCGTTACGATAGCGACGACTCTCTTCTGCTTCCCGTTTCCGCGAATTATCAAAGTAACACGGTAATTTAGTTTATTAGTTACAGTAGTAATTCAGATGGCTTTCTTGTAACAGCTGCGCCTCTTTTGCAGGATATAGCGGACGAGCAGCGCTACTGGCTGATACACAAAAACGGTTTCACATTCGCCCGTTTGCTGGAAACATTGTCGGACGGGAGAATGCGCATACGTGTGATGGATAAGCTGGAAATGATTGTTGATGTAACTGACGTTGACAAGGCCAATCCTGCCATCCTGGATCGTTGTAAAGACATCGTCAGGTTGATCCCGCTTTTACATCTACACGCATTCAGCACTTTCATGCGTCATCTACGATACAAATCGTTTCAGTTTGCGCTATATTAACGAAACGAGTGTACTGCATGTTTTGCGGCAACGCTACGGTAGCAACTTGTTCTATACGTGCAGTGGGCCGAGAAATATGATATGTTTGGCTGCCGAGGATAATCCAGCAACATCTCTGTCCCTGTTCAGGGGTTGCAGGCGTCAGCAAATGCCGCCACACATCTACTCGTCAGCCCAGCAAGCTTACAGGTTCAAACATTTTCTTTCATCACATTCCTCGGCACATTGTAATAACGAAAGATACAGTAAGTGGCATGGCCGTGTCAGTTGTGATAGTGATGATGGCTGGGCCAAAGAACGGGCGTCATGCGCATTTCCTTTTGGATACTGAACCAGCCAAAAGGGGGAGAGCGATTCTGGGGGCACAAATTCGCCTAGTAATGCAAATAATGGAGCGCAGAGTCATTGCGCATCTGAAAGGTTTCGTGTATTGTATTGCTTTGGACAGTTTCGGTTGGGTGCAGCACGGTGGAGTTATGTGCCTTGCCCAGGGCAAATGAACGGCATGATGGGATGAAAGTAGTAAATAGTGAAATTCATTTTGTTCTGAGAATGCTGCGCAAAATCTTTTAGAATGCTGCCAATTAAAAGACAGGGAAAAAAACTAACGGGAATTATTGACGACAAAGGAATGTTGTAGAGAATTGTTTTTCGTAAAGTAAAACTTCGATAGCTGCGGCAGTGGCAAGAGAGCAACTGCTCGCAGGCAAGGAACTGCGATGCATTTGTTTTTTGCTGCATAGACCAATACAAAACGCAGTGGACATTTATAAAGCCCAATCTGATTTGGGGACAAACATGGGAGTTAAGGAAAAATGATGCACTCACTGTCCAAGGTGTGAGAAACTACTTAGAATCTCTATTTTAAAGGCGTTTCAGGCAAATCTGCATACGCAAACGTAGCCCTCTGAGTTAAACCATTTGTAAGCAGAAAGTGGAAAAAGCCTCGGTGCTGTATTTGAAGAAGTCTGAATACAGCGGCGGTGGTATTAAAATTTGTGAAAAAAGCCATATGGTTTTGTTTATTTTGCAGAGCGTTACAAATGTCTGGCAGAAGTCAGTGTGTTGTTTTAACTGGAACAAGCGGTAGTGGAAAAACAACTCAGCTACGGAATTTATGCCGTTATTTTTGCGATGTGGCAGGATGGACGAAACATCTTTCCTGTAAGTCTCCATTGACTGGATTACACTGAGCGCTCTGTGCGCCACGCAGTTCGTTACTGATTCCGAAATAATCCTGAGCTGGGACAGGCAGGACATTCATGTCTGGTGTTGCGCATACACTTCTAGAAGATTGCGCATTTTCATTATCCTTGAGCGAATTGATATTTTGAATAAATCCTTCTGGTGATGACTCGCAGAGGGTGGTTATAGATGATGTGATATCGTCAGCTCTGTTTGTTATGGAATCGTTCGGCAACTGCGTCAGCAAGCATTCCTCGAATTCAACGCGCTTTGTATCATTGTTCTCGCTCTCCTTCGACACCGTTGCATCACTGAGGTAATTCGCTATCACTTTCAAATCACGCATTTTGCCGTCCTATCAGTGACGTCGCTCGTACTTCACGCTCCTTTTATTTGTGTAGAACCAGCTACTTGTGATCGGGCGATAGCTGTCTCCAGTCTGTTCATGTATGTTTGCAGATGTGCTTCCGTACAAACGTTCCTACTTGAAAAGACTCGCATCTGTCGCCATCTTAAAGACGGAATGACATTCCACGTAGTTCGTTATCTGTTACAAGGGACGGATCCGGATACACATGCTACATTCTTGCTCAATGAACTCGACAAGCAAGCATTTGGGTTTGCTGAAGATGAGGATTCTTGTGCAGACTCGCAAAAAGTACTGCTTTTTTGGCATTATCTGTTTGCCACGTTAGGCTGGCACCCTGTTTTCTCTTTCACTTTCTTCGTAATGCCATTGCCGCTGCGTGAATATGAAATGCATGAGCTGTTTACAGGGTTGGTCGAAACTCTCGCATTCGTTTGCAACACTGGGCTTCTCTGACAATGAAAAAGCCACTATCATTAGTCTCCTTGCCGCTATCCTGCATTTGATCTGTGCGGGAGCCACACAGGGTGATGCGCAACGCTCTCAGTTTGTGTGTATGCAGCATGCTCAGCATGCTGCCACATTGCTGGGCGTAGAGGTTGAACAGATTGCATCTGCCGTTTTTCGCAGAAATCTTTCACATGGTGGTCCTACCAATCCTGTCAGGTATCATCGTTCGGCTTGTTGTATTTCATTTTGTTTCGTTCGAAAAGCTTAGTATCGGTTTCAGCCGATTCTCGCTATCGACTCGTAATCAGACAGGTCAGGAAGCCCTCAGTCGCTTCATTGCTTGCCTTTACAATGAGTTGTTTGGTGCAGTCGTTCGTTTATTGAACCGCCGAATGGGTGGCGACAGTTCGAAATCAGCGTCCTCAATTACCATCATTGATTATCCCGGAAGCACTTTCGGGTCGTCCAATTCGGTAACACATCCAGCTTTGCTTCTTGCTCATTTCTGGCATGAGTTTTCAGTGCAGCCTTGAAAAGACAGTTTACGAGTGGATGCGAATGCTTACAAGCAACGACGGCCGCAACAACAAAGCTGTTAAAAAGCCAGATTTTTAATCTGCTGATTTCAAAACCTCGAAATAACAGTACTTTGTTCATCACGCGATGAACTGCAAGTGGTACTGTCGTCGTCAGTATCACAAATTCGATATCACTCTCTTGAGTCTTTTAGTTGAAACCTGATGATGACAGTGTAACATTGCGAGTTTGCTTGATTAAAATGAACTAACGATGCAGTGATCTTTCTGCAAAAATTCGGGAATCATTTCAAGTATTTGTTTAGAGTGACGCTCCTGCTTACGGTCTGAATGATCTGCTGTACAATTATGTCAGTGAGCGAGTGGCGGAGCTTTATCACGATGCGTGTTTCACTGAGCTTCTGGAACTGTACAAAAGGGAACAAGTTGATGCGGATCTTGAACAAACTCAGAATTCTCCTCATGAAATTTGTCGATTAATCGACCAGAGACAACAGCTGGTAACACTCCCTTTTATGTGTTTTTTCCGTGCAGCGCTAGAACGCTGCAAAAGTCAGCAAAAACGCATATTGCAACGACTCTGTCAGTGTATGTGTATGTTTATGTTTGTGTGTGTGTTCATCTGTCCGTGTATTTCAACTCGCTAACCACGTAAGCTTTGAAGCTGAAATTTTGCCAGTGTGTTCCTCAGCCAAGTCCCACCTCAGGACCGCGGCACCAACTCTCAAGCCCGTCTGGGCCCCGCGTACGAGCACATGAAAGTTTTGGCGCGAAAACTGCTAACTTGGGAACGAAAAAAGCTAGAAAGCCGAAGCTTTTGGGTAATGTCCCCTACTCATGTATGACTAAAAGATTTCAAATTCAGCTTCTTAAAACCGTCTGGTGCTCAAGTACGGACACGTGAAAATATTGATGGGAAAATTGCTAACTCGGGAGGGAATTATCGCGTAATAGCGTAATATATCAAGTAGTGATTAATGGTTA